GCTCAGCCACCAGCTACCCCCACCTGCCCTGCAGGCGCTCAGCCACCAGCTACCCCCACCTGCCCTGCAGGCGCTCAGCCACCAGCTACACCCACCCCTGGGACTTGCTGAACTTTCATTCAGTGTTTTAACTTTCATTGGTGTTTTGGAAGTCTGCTTGTTGGCGTCTTCTCTCCCTCTCCTTCTCTCCTTCTCTCCCTCTCTATTTCCTTTTTCTTTTTTTCTTTCCTACCCTTCCACTTTCCTTATCTCCCTTCCTTTTCTTTTTCTCTTTTCTTGTCTTTTAAAAAAAATCTGTCCAGCAATCCCTGCACACCTTTGCCCCTTCTCCGTTTAGGGGTCTGCTGGGAGGCCTAGTCTGCTGCTGCCACTCCAGCCCTCCAATCCACGGCACAGGGCCACTGAGGTAACTGCCAGCTGTCTCTGTTCATTTTCTTGTTCTGAGACACAATACCCAACACCCACAAGTTAAGGCAGGAAAGGTTTGCTTGGCTCTCAGTTCGTAGAGGTTTCGGTCCAAAGTCATCAGCTCCAAGACAGGGGGGCATCACAGAGGAGAAACGGTCCCCTGCAAGCAGGCAAGGAGGGCACCCCAGCCCTCTGTCTGTCTGTCCCTTCTACTCTATGCCGGCGAGCAGAGGTGGCACTCACACCCCTCCTCCTGCCCAGAACTGTGCCCACCAACCCGTGGGCTGGTGCAGCAACCCCCCCCCCCAATGCCAGGGTTCTGCTCTAGACCCAGCCACCTCTGAAAAGCCCCCTGTGACTGCATGGGGCTGGGTGGGGGCAAGCCATGACACAGCATGTGTCTCTGCGCCTGTTAAGATTCGTCATTGAATCCTAATTTTCACAGGCATTTTGGGTTGTTTTGTGCACGTCTGTTCTGGGCAGTGGTGACTGGTTTTGTTTGCTTTTGCCTTTCTAAGCCACCAGTGTCTGAGCCTGCAAAGCAGAGTCCTGCATCCTCGGGCCTGGCCCCGAGCCTATCATCTGCCTCAGTTTCCATGTTGCTCCGATTAGAGGTATGGACCACTGGGCCTGGCAAATCCAGCTTGTATCTTTATTAAAACAACCAATCAGTTTATTAAAATAGTTGACTTAGGCCTCAGCAAAAGTGATCTCAACTTTACCTCCCGGCTGAATTCTGATGGAAATGATTTGCTTGCCA